ACCCAAACACAGACACACACACAATCTTGGCTGATGTAACGGACATTCTGGAATTTTCTGTTTTGTAATGAAACATTGTACTGAATGATTTTTTTAAAATAAGTCCTTAAGTTCAGGTCACCCTGAAAACACACACATACGAGGGAACAAACACACACATACTTAACCTTTGGCATCTGTCCTCAGTAGACACTGCATTTGTGCCAGCTCTGTGTCTCTGTCTCCTCTCTGTCTCTTCCTTATTTCCTTCCTCGTGTTTTTCTTCCCTCCCTCCAACCTCAGATCATCTTGTTGACAATCTTGGGAAAAATATAAACATTAAAAGATCAAAGTCGACTGTGTCAAATTCTGCTGTTTTATTTCACCTATTACACTCCTATTAAGGTATTTGTAATGTTTCAGGTGTAACCCAACTCAGCTCCCTTTGGGTTCCCTCAACACTGCCCCCTTCAGACAATTTTCTCTCACTGAAAAAAGCTCCCAAGACTCTGATTTACTTTGGCAAGAAAACGCAGGGAAGAGTGGGTAGAAAAACATTAAGCATAGTATAAAAAGAATTCCATGCCACTTATTTTCACCTTGCTCCACAAAAGCAACATTTTTACTGTGCAATTATTTTGCTGTGGCACTGTACATATTGGAATAGATATGCATTATGATTAGCATGTCCTGATCCATCCACTGTACTTCAGTGGTGGTGACAGAGGCACGAGGAAGATCAAAGTCATCCTAATAGATTTCTATCACCACTCCCACCTGTTCCCTCCGGAATTTCCTCTCTTCCCAGCATGTGTGCATGCGTGTGCACGTCTGTTATGTCTATCAGACTGTTTGTGTTTCTGCATGTGTGCCTGAGTTTGCATCTGTTACCAAGTGGTTATGGACCTGTATGCCAGTGAGTGTGCATATATCTGTGTGTGTATGCATGTGTATGTGTGTAGTCTGTTTCAACATGTCTACTACTTGCGGGAATCTTATAATCTGGAACTGGAATATGTGCTCATGTCTGTGTCTGTCTAGCCTTGCTCCACCTCTCTCTTTCTCTTCCTTTCTCTTACTCTCACTCCTTGACAACTCTAATAAGTTTGGTAGATCAGGTTACACCCCTTGATACAACATGCCAGCTTCTCCCTTTTTTCCCCCTGTTTTCTCTAATTTGGTCTTCTTTTTCTTGCCCATTTCATATAACTGCTCTGTCTCAACAACAGACAGTTTCTCACGAACATGAGGAGACACACGCACAGCAGACGCACACAGACACTGACGGGGAGTGAGACAGACTACATGCACACGTCTGTCTCTGTAGGCCTCTCAGGTTGCTGACATTTTCCATTTTTGCGCATATAAAGTAATAATAATAATATTAGTGGGTGTGACAGAGCAAGGGTCCATTCACTACCGCTGCCAGCCTCCTATAAATATCCCCCTTCTTCGGGGGAATCCGAGAAGCAGCAGAGACCTTCAGTTTACACAGCTGAGGAGCATGTGGACGAAAATCTCTATTCTTTCTCTTTCCCTCTTTTTCCTGCCTCTCCTTTCCCCTATCCCTACTCTTCATTTTCCCATCACTTCACTGCTTGGTTATGTGACCATGTGTCTTTAACATTTTTTCCTGATCTCTTTGTCCTCGCTTGTCTCTTCTCACCTGTCTCCCTCCCTCGTGATTTCATGATATCTCTTAATCTCGCATGGCCTCCCACCTTTCCTGTCACCTTTACATCTACACTTTTCTGTTAGTCTTCTCTGATGGATATTATGGAGAAGCACCAGACAATATACAGCAGGTTATTATGGGAACTGCAGAGTGATGAGGTGAAGCTAACTGCAGGTGGAAGTCATCCTCCCTTTCATCACATCTCTCTATTTTGTCTCCTGACTCACCCACTTCCCTTTGCCCCCCAACACACGTGCCGACACTTGCTGAGCAACATCTGCTTAAGTAATCAAAATAATCTCTCTCTCTCTCTCTCTCTCTCTCTCTCTCTCTCTCTCTCACACACACACACACACACACACACACACACACACACACACACACACACACACACACACACACACACACACACAAGACTTATAGTAAGATGTCCAAATATGATATGTATTGGCCCATTTTCACGTGTGTGTATCAGATTGGGAGACAAAATCTGGAAATAGACTTCGCAGGTACTTTGTTGGTCTTTGGCTCCTCCTAGTGGATATTTGGTGATAACGTGGCTCTATTGTTTCCTTCACTTTCTGAAAAGGAAGACGTCATTTAAAGCCCACCTGTGAAATGTCATCACTCACGTCCCGGTTTCACTTTTAAAGAAACTAGCAGTTGACGTGTAAAAGCAAAGGGGAGTAGAGAAATTAATGCGGATTGTTAACCATTGTGATGCCAGTTAATTACCCGAAACGCTAACTTGTTTGTCTGCGCTCAGTTACGTGATCACCCTAACACTAGCATTAACCCCAAAAATCAGTTCAAACCAGCCATGACACAGCCCGAGACGTGCTCACACTGATAAAGAAGTTGTAGGGTACTCATAAATCCGTCGCATTCATAAGCCTGACGACGATATTTTTTCATCTCTGTAAGCTTTTCTTTTGCAGTGCCTAACTTTACATTTTTGTCGTTGAGCTTCTCTTTAAAACTGCAGTAAAATTCCTTAAATGTGTAACTTTGTGACGTAAAACACAGATCGTGTACAGTTCTCCTTGACAGTGTATATAAATCATTTACACCATGCGTACACCATGCATGACAAAACAGCGTAACACAAGTATAATTAATGATAATAGACATAGAGTGGTTAAAAATGATACCTAAAAAATGTAGAAAATTATTATCTGACACACACACAGATTAAGGAATCAGACAATAAATAAGATCAACGGAAAGTAAGTGTATAAGGTGTATACAGTTTGGTGGTCTTTTGTTCCTGTTTCTCTGACTGTTATGCTGATGAATATCCGGTAGATGGCCCCCTAGGATCACAGAAAAAAGTCTCAAGCCAGAAAACGATGTCTTCTGGAGCGAAGTGACATGGCTCCAGAAACCTTTGACAATTCAATTCAATTCAATTTTATTTATATAGCGCCAAATCACAACAAAAGTCGCCTCAAGGCGCTTAAACAATTTCACATCGGTGCTTCGCTCCTTTAGCAACTTTTAACTGAGAAGTATGTTCTGTGAGAAGGACACCCATGCAATAACTCTCATGTAATCCTGTTCAATACGATCATTTCACTAATAGTTACATCCAGCTTCAACGCGTTGGGTTCCCCCAATGATGGAAAATACAGGCGGAAACATGCTGGTTTCATTAATAAACTCCTTTAGTTAAAACCATGAACTAGTGTTTGCTGAGCCAATTTATTAATGTGGTATCACCGAAACACAGATTGAAGCAAATATAGTTAAAAGATGATGCTATGCTTTAGTGGAAGGGTGATTTGGGGGCCATCATTACCTAAAAACACACAAGATGAATAATTAATGTTTTATGCTTTAGGGTGAAATGTGCAGGATTAATTGTATGGAGTAGATACTGATAAGGATTCATTTTTAATACATCTAAAGCTATGCGAACAACACTGTGAGCAAATGTGAGCACTTTAAGACTAAACACATTATGGCCTCCACTAATAAGCTTATGTTCAGTCTTCCTTGTGTTTCTCTTGATTTCCTGTGAGGTGCAGAACTACAGATAACTTTATCCGATTTAATTTTGTATCAGCAAAAATTATCCAGTGTTGTTAAAGAGAAGCAACACTTTTCTTTGGCACACAATACATTTTAAACCGTTCCATTTATTGCGGTATCGCATATTGTCCGATAGATGGCGCCACAAGATCACGAATGGAAAAGAAATATAGCGTTTTAAGTGCACTTACATGTGGACATTATGAGCCAAATAAAACATAGACGGCACTAAAGTGGAACTGAAAGCGCTTATAGAGAAAACAGCCCCCTTTATTTCAAGTGCATAAAAAAAACAAATGAGTTTCTAACCACTTTACCATCCTTCATCCACCCACCAGTACTTTTTCATTCTGTGGGGAGGAACGGGTCACGGTCAGATGGCTTCTGAGCGGTAGTTCAGAGAAAGTAGTCTTTCTGTCGGACAATTGGGTGAGCGAGGCGATAGGGGCGGATGAGTCCGGCTTAATGCTGCGTGTAATGCATGTTAATGTTACAGGCACCGAGGGACCGCCGGCCCGAGGGCTCTGGGATTATTTATCACAAAACATTTGTATTCTTCCGTCGGAGAACGGTTGATCCCGGATAGCTGCACACTAATCCTTCACTCCGTTAATTAAAAAGAAGGGAAAAGCAATGGAACTGGTGGTGGTGGTGATTTTTTTTTTCTTTTTCCAGAAATGTAATCATTTCTGGAGAAGCTTAACCATCTGCTTGAGGTTAAGTCTACAAGCAGATTGTATTTTCTGCTTATTTAAACCTGGGGATTTTAGTTTTTCCTGAAAAGGGGAGGGAAATGCATGCCAGTGCTGCTTATTGGAGAGATAGAAGTGCAGCAACTTTAGTTCCCAGGGGAAGTAAAAGTAATGCTTTTTTTCCTGCGATTTCTTCCTCCGGGATGAGGATTTATGGTTTGATAGCATTGCGGTTTTATTCAAAAACAAGTAGTGACCTTTCTTACCTCTCCTTTAAAAACCCAGCTGAATATGAAGAGGGAACGTTATTCTCTCAGTTGCTTAAGAGAGAAATGTCAGAAACAACCACTGTCTTCAAGTGGAAGTATTCCCTTTGGCCCTGTTTGATTTGTTTTGAAAGTGAAAAGATCGCAGCAACATTAGACTTTGTTTCCCTGATCACCCTCAAAGAGGACCAACCATCAACACGATTTTCCACAGAGGTTTTAGTCCTCAGGTTGTTGGGAGCAATTTATAGAAAAATGCAGCGTCTAGTGTAAAAGGAAATGCTGCCCCTAAGAAGCAGAAATGTTTGTTTCTTGTTCTTTCTCTCTCATCTCCTTCTCGCTTCTTTTCCTTTTTAGTTGCTAACAAGCCCAACGCTGCCCGGGGGCCAAGGCTGTGTCGTCAGTCCCATGAAGAGACTTTCAGATTTCCACCATTTTTTTGGCATTAGGATGCTAGTCGTGTCTGTCTGGAGAAGAACCTGAATTCACAAAGGCAGCCTTTGGTCGCACTCTAACTCTGTCTTTAACTGCTCCCTGCCGCGCACTGCTTGTCTAACTGACCAGGATATACAGGAAAGCGATTAGATGTGAACAAACATGCGCGGTGCTCTAAAGAGTTGTTCTCTTTATCTCAAAACTATAATGGCACTCTGATACAGCCTTTTCTGTTTATGCCAGTCTGTAAACAAATCATCTATGAGATATTTATCTAATCCCAACCACAGTATAATACCTGATTAGAGACAAGTATGATTGAGGCTTTATGACACTGCTTTTACGTTGATTGTGTTGATACATGTACAGACCCACTTAAGTGAATTAAAGGCGTGTAATGCGTATTTGTATTGGTCTTTTGTCCGTTTATGATTCTCAAAGTAATCGTTTTAAGTTCCAGGACCTGTAGCTCACACTCATTTAAACACTGATTAAAAATGAATACTCTGACCTATCAAAGATTCTTTTTGTAAAACCCAATTTCGCATGTGATGATTAATGAATGGGACTGTTTTATAGTGTTTGTATTCATCTTCAAAGGGCTCTAATTCAAAAGCATTATGAAGTCCCAGGAGCCTACTGTTAGTGGCCACTGGGCCATTTGAAGCAGAGCGAGTGAGTGCTTAAGCTTGTGTGTTTTGTTTACTGTATTTCAACACGTACTCATGGGACCTCAGAAGAATAGTTTATTATTTTTCTGAAGGTGCAGTGGGGATTGCAATAAAACAATAACACGATGCTGGCTATCACCACGGTCCTGGCGCAGTAAGGAGCTGGGAAAACCAAGACAAATCCTTACTCATCCTCATCTAGTAAACCCAGCCTAGGAAAGGACACCCGTGACACACTTTGACTTCTAATCCAAATCTGGCTCTGACGTCTGGTATCAAACTTACGCCCTGTCCTCACTTTAATGGGTCAGGCGAACAGACACGCGGATGTGAAAGGGTTAAACGTCTACAGTAATTAGAGTCGTATTTCGCGTCAGCGTCCTCCAATACGGAGCTGCGAGAAGCCACGTCCACCCCCTCCATCTCTCTTTCCATCTCTCTCTCCCTCTCTCTCTCTGTCACACACACACACATACACACGCACCTCCCCACCGGCTCCTCCAAGTGCCTAATACACTGTAAAATCAAAGCGCGAGCCTCCCCCGTTCATACCGGTGTTGCGCGTGGAGCACAGCACCGAGAGAGGTGCTTTCACTCTGCTCCCGCTCTCTCATTCTAAGTATTTGGCAAAGTTACCCATACAAATAAATGTGACTAACTTCAATCTTAGGACAGGCTCCTTTTCTCTATTATGTACAGCTGAATGTCTTTATGAGGCGAAAGATGTCCGTGTGAGGTGCTTTACGCACGGGGCTGAAATGGATCACATTCTCTCCAGAGGCAGCTGGGTGCCGGTGACTGGCCTGGTTATATGTCTGCTTCTGTGCGCGTGTGTCGTGGACTTGGTTCTCGCGCAAATTCGCTACTCTATCCCAGAAGAGCTGGAGCATGGAGCTTTTGTGGGCAACATCGCCGAAGACCTAGGTTTGGATGTGGCAAAGCTGTCAGCCCGTCGGTTTCGTATCGTTTCTGGCGCAAAGAAACAGTACTTAGAAGTGAACTTGGAGAACGGGATTCTCTTCGTCAACGAAAAGATAGACAGAGAAGAGCTTTGTGAACGAAGCCCAAACTGTTTTTTGCACTTACAAGTGGTCATAGAAAACCCGTTAGAACTATACAGAGTTGAAGTGGAGATTTTAGACGTGAATGACAACTCCCCCAGTTTCCCGTGGAGCGAGTTTAATCTTGACATCACAGAGTCCGCTGCGCCCGGCTCTCGTTTCCCGTTGGAGAGCGCCCAGGACCAGGACGTTGGCACCAACTCTCTGCGCTCATACCTGCTGAGCGCAAACGAGCACTTCGCACTGAACATCCAGACGCGCAATGATGGGAGCAAGTTTGCTGAGCTCGTGCTGGACACCCCACTGGACCGGGAACAGCAGAAAAAGCATGAAATGGTTCTGACTGCTTATGACGGGGGCTCACCGGAACGCTCAGGGACAGCGCTGATAACTATTACAGTTTTGGATGCCAACGATAACGTGCCTGTGTTTGACCGCGCAGTTTACCGCGCGAGCCTGGTGGAGAACGCACCGAGAGGGACGCTGGTGCTGAAACTGAACGCCACAGACCTGGATGAGGGCTCGAACGGGGAGGTTACTTATGCGTTCAGCGGGCACGCACCACTCAAGGTGCGCGAACTGTTCAGCGTGGACCCCTACATGGGTGAAATCCGAGTGAAGGGTATTGTGGACTATGAGAAAGCAAGTGTTTATGAGTTGTATGTACAAGCGAAAGACAGGGGACCCTCGGCCGTGGCCGTACACGGCAAAGTGCTGGTGGACATCCTGGATGTAAATGACAACGCTCCCGAAGTTATCCTCACATCAGTGTCCACTCCCGTTCAGGAAGATGCGCCAGCAGGTACGGTGATAGCGGTTATCAGTGTTATGGACCGGGACTCTGGAGAGAACGGAAACGTTGACTGCCAAATTCCAAACAACGTTCCCTTTCAGCTCCACTCATCTTTTAAAAACTATTACACTCTTGTGACAAGCGAGTTTCTGGATAGAGAAACCGTGTCCGAATACAACATCACCCTCACAGCACGAGACCTGGGCTCTCCTTCGCTCTCTACCAGAAAAACCATTCTCGTTCAAGTGTCTGACATTAACGACAACCCCCCGCGGTTCTCCCAACCTTCATACACAGTTTATGTGACCGAGAATAATGCCCCGGGCGCTTCCATTTGCTCTGTAACTGCATTCGACCCCGATTCTAACCAGAACGCCTATCTGTCTTATTCTATTCTGGAGGGTCAGATTCAGGGCATGCCCGTGTCCACTTATGTCTCAATCAACTCTGACAACGGCAACATCTACGCACTGCGCTCCTTTGATTACGAACAATTAAGAAACTTTCAGATTCTGGTACAGGCACAGGACGCAGGCTTCCCCCCTCTCGCGAGTAATGTCACAGTTAACGTCTTTGTCTTGGACCAGAACGACAACGCACCTGTTATCGTATCCCCACTGCCGAAAAACGGCACTGTGGCCACAGAGGTGGTTCCGCGGGCAGTAGACGCTGGCTATCTGGTTACCAAAATAACAGCGATAGACGCAGACGCGGGGCAGAACTCCCGCTTGTCCTATCAGGTGTTACAGGCTACAGACCCGGGGCTGTTCAGCGTAGCTCTGTACACGGGAGAAATCAGGACTATTCGTCGAATAGTAGAAAAAGACGCAACGAGACAGAGACTGGTAATATTAGTCAAGGACAACGGGCAGCCACCGCTTTCCGCCACTGTCTCCATTGTCCTCACAGTGGTAGACAGCGTGCCCGAGACCCTGTCAGATTTCGGGGACCTCACACTCAGCCCGCAGCCCCCTTCAAACCTCGCTCTCTACTTGATCGTGTCGCTGAGCACTATATCCTTAATATTCCTGGTGGCTATCATCGTGCTGGCTGCAGTAAAGTGCTACAAGGATAGCGAGACTCTCAGCGGGTACAACCTGCCCCCCCTATCCTGCTGCTGCTGCGGGGGGTTTCAGCCAGAGCCGCCCCCGGAGATGTTCAAAAAATCCAACCTCAACCTGCAGATTTCATCCGCCGCCAAAGTGCCCACGAACTGCATGGAGGTGAATGGAAATAGCAGTCTCTCTCAATCATATTGTTATAAAGTGTGTCTAACCCCCGAATCAGCCAAAAGTGACTTTATGTTTCTGAAGCCGTGCAGCCCGAGCAGCACACCGAGGAACAACGAGGCAAAGAGCGCGGAAAACTCGTGGAACGCGCAAAGCCGGAGCGCATCTGTGAACAACGGAGCAACTACTCCCAGTGAGGTAGAGTGAAATCAGCATATAGTATAAAACAAAGGAGAGCGAGCGTTTAATTCCACCCCATTCCACACACTGACACAATAACAACTATCAACTCAGTTTCCATCAGATGTGAATCTAGACTGTGACATTCTCCCATGAAGGTCAAATCGCGCATGCCATACAGGCTGGTACTCAACTTGAGGAAAACCTTCAGTAAAGTCACTCTTTTCTTCTATCACTCCCTCGTTAGTGTTTTCGCACAGCGTGTCGTCTTCACAGCGTTTTAATATAATTGTGGCAATAATGAATTCTAATTGTGCTGCCCATGTTAATGTTTTGCACCCGGGAAATGAAATGAGACGACGTGAGATTACATTTTAATTGACATGTTAATGAAAGTGTAAAGCCCCATCTTGCGAGGAGCATATGCTGTGCAAAAAACCGTGTCTGAGAACGAAGTGAGATGTCAATTACTGCACGAGAGGAAGATGAGATGTAGTTCAGGCAGTCTCCTCTGTTCAGTCTTGGTATCAATTCAAGCATTTAATAATAATTCGAGAACTAATTATAGAGATTGTGACCTGCGAGAACAATGTCTACATCATCCAGTGTTATTGCCACACAGTTTTCATGCAGTGACGTGCACACACCTGCTTCCAGCGTATCTACCTGAACAAAAAGTCAAGGTTACAAACATGAAGGTGAATGGCAGCTGTTTGAAATTGTCAGCCTTGGGTTCAGGCAATCCATGTCACGGGCACTCGGGTTTGTGAACACGCCTTCTTGTTTTCAAACTAACAATACAGGACAGATAACCTCACTAACTATGCCTCAAGGGCACAAGGACGACCGAACCATTATACCAGACACAATGTGGCGTATTCGCAAGAGGGGGGTGGCTGTCCATTATTGATGAAAAATGGCAAATGGTCGGTTTTGGGGAGACAGGGGAGGACATCGCGAGGGGAGGGGGCAAGGAGAAGGAGGGGGCGCAAGGACATGGCTGGACTGAGACGTGGACAGCCTGTAGATCGGCCCCAGCACTGTCCTCTGAATGCGAGGAGAGAAAGAGAGATGTGGCTTCATATTTGTCGAGCAAGGGTGGGGAAGAGGAGGGGGTGAAAGGGAAGGAAGGAGAGGGGAGAAATGAGACGAGGAAGGGGGGTAGTTTACAGAGGAAGGGTGTCTACGCCCGTGTTTTTTTTATTTTTATTTTTTTTATTATTATCATAATAGACGGAGCAGCAGACCATAAATATGTGCGTAATGCCGATTCCGGTATAAATCGGCCCTGACTCTTTGTCCCCTCCGGTCTAATAGCGTGGAGGGGACAAAGAGTCAGGCCCTTGATACCAGACTCCACCAGGCTGACTGAGAAATGTCAGCCCGGTCACTGACACATACACCTCTGGCCACAAGAGGGAATTCGAGGTCACGGTGAATGTGCCGCCTGTAGCTAAACTCCTTCAGGAG